CCAACAGATTCTTCTTGTTTTCTTCCAATTTATTACAAGTTTACCCCTCAATGAGGCCCTTGCTCCTCAAAGACAATTTAAAAACAACAAACAATTCAATAAAATGGCAATTAATACATATCTATCAACAACTGAATCCACAAACAAAATGAGCAAGCAGAACAGAAAGAGACTCATAGATACAGAGAACTTTTTGTTGCTTGCCAACTGGGTGGGGGCTGGGGGGCTGGGTGAAAACGATGAAGGGATTAAGAAGTACAAATTGGTTGTTAGACTGATGAACCTCAAAGGGAAAGGGGGAGGGAGCATGGGATGAGATAAGCCAAAGACCTTCTATGCATATATGCATAACCAATGGGCACTCACAATAGTGTGGGGAAGGCAGGAAGGGAAGGGAATGGGGCGGAGAAGGTCAATGAGAAAAAAAGAAAGAAACATCTCTAAAACATTCAACAATAAAGATGAGTTTTAAAAAAATAAAAAACAGAAACAACAAACAATTCAGGTATCACTGAAGTGGAAACACAGGACGCTTCCTGTTAATAAGAACAGACTGACACTTCCGGTCAGGACGGCGGGGTAACGCGGTGTCCGCCCCCCACAACCACATCAGTGACAACTAACTACAGAACAGCCGTCATCAGAGCCCCTGACCCCGAGCTGGAGGGAGCCCTACGGCTACGGGTTAAAGCAGCAGCCGCATCGGGACTGGGAGGAGGGCGGACGGGCTGGTCCCACACCCACGGGTGGCGGATAAAATCAGGAGACACCTCGGCTGGGAAGGTCCTTCCTGAGGACTGAGGGGTCCCCGTCCCACACCAGGTGCCCGCTCAGGGTTCCAGTGCCAGGAAGAGAGTCCCCATCACTTCTGGCTGGAAAACCAGCGGGAACTGAGGCTCAGGGAGGCTGAGGCGGCTGGAGCCCCAGGCAGCTCCTTAAAGGGCCCGCGCACGGACTTATCGGACTCTCTCCCTCTGAGCTTGGAGGGGAGGCAGCTCGAGGGGCGCCAGAGACACACAGGGAAGAACTGAGCTGTTTGGCCCTGGAGCGAGGGCTGGAGAGGGGGCTTTCTCCGGGACAGATGCGTTGTCAGAGGCCTTGGTTCCTTTGGTGAGCCCTTCCCTGGGGCAGCAGATGCCCCCATATCTAGGACTCCAGCTACCAGGCTCACACTGGTAGCCCCACCCTGGTGATTCCCTGAGACCCCGCCCCACCCAACTTTCAGGCCCACCGAAGCTGTTGCCAGTTGCTTTACCATAGGACTGGCCAGTCTTGGATCCTACTTCAGATTTTCCTAAATTCTTTCAAACAAGCAGCATCTGGTCTCAGCTAGCCCCATACCTCTCGTTAAGTAATACACAGAAACAAACACAGGGAGGCAGCCAAAATGAGGAGACAAAGAAACAGGTCCCAAGTGAAAGAACAGAACAAAACCCCAAGAAAAGAACTTGGCGAAATGGAGATAAGCAACCTAACAGATGCTGAGCTCAAAATACTGCTTATAAGGATGCTCAATGAACTTAGTGAGGGCCTCAGTGAACTTAGTGAAGGCCTCAAGAACATTAAAAAGGACCAGTCAGAAACGAAGGAGGCACTAACTGAAATAAAGAATAATTTACACAGATTCAATAGTAGAGTAGGTAAAGCCAAGAAGGAAACCATTGATTTGGAATATAAGGAAGCAAAAAAATGCCCATTCAGAACAGCAAAAAGAGAAAAAGAAGCCAAAAAAATGAGGATAGTGTAAGGAGCCTCTGGGACAACTTCAAGCGTGCCAACATTCGCATCTTGGGGGTGCCAGAAGGAGAAGAGAGAAAACAAGAAATTGAAAACCTGTTTGAAACAATAATGGCAGAAAACTTTCCTAACTTGGTGAAGGAAACAGACATACAAGTCCAGGAAGCACAGAGAGTCCCAAACAAGATGAACCCCAAGAGGCCCACACCAAGACACAGCATCATCAAAATGCAAAAGGTTCAAGACAAAGAGAGAATCTTAAAAGCAGCAAGAGAAAGGCAGCTAGTTACCTACACGGGAGTTCCCATAAGACTGTCAGCTGATTTCTCAAAAGAAACATTGCAGGCCAGAGGGAGTGGCAAGGGATATTCAGAGTGATGAAAAGCAAGAACCTACAACCAAGATTACTCTATCCTGGGAAGCTGTCATTTAGAATCGATAGCCATATAAAGACTTTCCCAGACAAGAAAAAGCTAAAGGAGTTCATCACCACCAAACCGTTATTATATAAAATGTTGAAGGGTCTTTTTGAAGAGAAAGATAAAATATATGAAAAAACAAAATGGCAATGAATACATATCTATCGACAATGGAATCTACAAGCAAAATGAACAGGAAGAACAGAAACATTCTCATAGATACAGAGAACATTTTGTTGGTTGCCAGATGGGAGGGGGGTTGGGGGAAAGAATGAAAAAGGTGAAGGGATTAAGAAGCACAAATTTGTTGCTAGACTGACAAAACTCAAAGGGAGCCCTGGCCGGTTTGGCTCAGCAGTTAGAGCGTCCGCCTGCGGTCCAGAGGGACCCGGGTTCGGTTCCCGCTAAGGGCATGTACCTTGGTTGCAGTTTGTCCCCGGCCCTGGTTGGTCGTGCGGGTGGCAGCCACTCGATGTGTCCCTTTCACATCGATGTTTCCCTCTCTCTCTCTCTTCCTCTCTCTCCCTCCCACTCTGTCTGTACAAAGAAAGGATGGAAAAATGTCCTCGGGTGAGGATAAAAAAAAAAAAAAACTCAAAGGGAAAGGGGTTGGGGGGTGGGAAGAAATAAACCAAAGAACTTATATGCATAACCAATGGACACAGACAATAGTGTGGGAAAAGGCGGGAGGGGGGCGGGAGTTGGGAGGAGGGGGTCAATGGGGGGAAAATGAGGAACATCTGTAATCCATTCAACAATAAAGATTTTAAATAAATAAATAAATAAAAGAACAGACTGGCTCTAGGGTAAGAGGCAGGAGAAGGTGTTGGTGGCTGGGATTAAGAAATTGTAATGTCAGTGCTAACTCCAAGCCTATGGGAGAGGGGACAGTAGCCCTATCCACCAGCCACTTGAACAGGGAGGACAGGGGAGATCAGGGACCACATCTGGATGTGTAATACTAAGAGGATTTATTCTCAAGTCTATAAATTGCAATCCCCTGATGGAATGCTTTCCCCTTTATCTAAACAGATACAGAAGAACCGAGGTGCTAAAAATTTCCAAATCAAAGTTGATAGAAAAAATAAAATGAAACCCTGTTTTGTGTTTATCAAAATCTTCCATAAAAGGGAAAGACTACAAAGTTTTGTCGAAACGTAACTACTAGCACTACAGTCCTCGTGGGAGGGGCTGTCTAGCTCCTCCTCCCATCCCTCCTGCCACCTCCCCCTGACACTGACCACGGAAAGATTCGGGTTCTCAGGGAATAGTCTGAGGCCAGAAAAGGCATGGAGGAGGAGGAGGGAGATGGAAATGGGGTGGGGACAGCCACAGGGGCAAGCAGGGTGATGTCGCCTCCCTCACCAGGTCGTACTGATTGCAGTGAGGAGCCTCCGACCCACTTCCCTGAAGGAGAGAGGAGGGGCTGAGGGAGGAGACGGGGCGAAAGAAAGCAAACTCATCACCATGTAAACTGCGCTGCACAAGATGACAGAAATATCTTACAAGATGCTCTTCGTGCAATATCACTGCTGAAATGTGCAACTTTTAATACCCAGAAAAGTCCATTTTTTAAAAATAAACATTTCAATTCTTCCTGCTTTCCTTCTGCTCCCCTAAGAGCTTGTCTGGTACTGGGTGGGCTGGACTCTAACACCCCTCTGACCAGATTCGTCACAGTAAAGGTATATTCATGATTATAAGAAGACTCCGGCCTCTAAGTGAAGTGACTCTGTCTGTCTGAGGGGCAAGACGGGTGGGAGCAGGGAGAGAGCTGTCACGTGGAGGAAGAGATGTGCTCAGGATGGCTCCAGACATGTCCCTTTTACTCTGCCAAGATCAACTCAAAAGAGCACAGCTGTTCATGATGCTGGTGAATACAGAATTCTGTGTGGCACTCACTGATACTGGCATTGGGGTGCAGGGGGGGAGGGAGAGAAGGTTGTAGTTTGTCCCCACCCCCGGTTGGGGTCCTGTGGATGGCAGCCAGTCGATGTTTCTCTCTCCCTCTTCTTCCCTCTCTCCCTCCCGCACTATCTGAAGATAAATGCAAAAATATCCTCGGGTGAGAATAAAACAAATAAAAAATAAAATAAAACTCGCACCACCTCCCTGACTGGCCTGATTACACGTGACGCTTCTATGTAGTACGGTACTCCTGCCCCTGGAGACCCGAGGGCTGGCACGATTATGCTGGCAAAAGTGGAAGGGACGTAGGAAAGGAGGAAGGAAAGAACTGGGTCCACGTCCCTGGGCTCTCCCTGGACACTTTCAGAGGGAGGCTGCGGCCACCTACCACCCACTTTCCAGGCAAAGACCACCGCCCAGCATCCTGCTCCCAAAGAGCTCTGCTGGATTAAGCCCTACGCAGAGTTTCAGAAAAGAGCACAAGCTTGGGACGGGCATTTCTGGACTCCCTGTGAGGTCCCCCTTCCAATTCTTCTCCAGCTTCCTCTCCCGCCTCCCTCCCACTTTCCCCTGCTCTCCCCTCAATTCCCCCAACCTCAGCTCCCTGTCCTTAGAGGGCCCTGCTCGCTCGCTCTTCTGTCTTTGTCCGCTACACGGTCCCCCAGTCTCTGGCTCACTGTCCCCTTGGTCAGCAAGCCCATCAGGAGCCACACGGGAGGCAGAAAGGCGTCTACGCGCAGCGCGGCGCGGCTGTCCTGCCCCCGGGGCGGCGCCGGTGCCGGCAGCGGGGAGGCAGCAGTGGCAGGCGCGCCCCAGCGGGAGGGGGCCCTCCAGGCGCGGCGGGGCCTCTGCCGGCGTGTCTGAGCCCACGGACCGCGTGATCACATCCAGCAGCTCTCGGCCGCACCTCGGCACAGGCTCGCTGAGGGGCCAGCTGAAAACCAGGAACTTCACAGATGTGCGCGTCATCCTGGTGCAGGGACCGTGCCAATCTTCTCTGTACTGTTCCAACTTACCCTTTTAAAATAACAATGTCACTGATTCCAGAGAGAGGAGGGAGAAACATCCATCAGCTGCCCGCGGCGCGCCCGCCAGGGGGGATGGGCCCAGACCGGCGTGCGCCCTGACCTGGGATCCAAGCGGTGACCTCGTGGTGCGGGGACGACCCCCAGCCCCTGAGCCACGCCGGGCCACGTGACCCCACGTCAGCGCGTGCGCGGTGGAAGCCAGCCCCCAACAGACTCGAGGCCGCCGCCGCCGCCTGGCTGGCACGCTGCGCTGAAGGGCGGCGAGCGCCCTGCCGGTCGGCCCGGCGGTCAGAGCACCGGCCCAGACCAGGGTCCCGGCTTCGGTGCCCGCGAGGGACACGCACCTCCGCTGCAGTTTGTCCCTGGCCCTGGCTGGGGCGTGTGGGCGGCAGCCCTCGGCGTCTCGCGTTTCTCTCTCCCTCCCACTCCATCTGACGATGGATGCAAGAGTGTCCTCAGGTGAGGATGAAGAAAATTGTGAGAAAAAATGTTTTCCAGAGCTACCAAGACTGTGCAATGAGGGTTCTGAAACGACACCCTAGACGTCGAGCCAGGAGTCATGCGTAACCCGAGCGCTCCCGCCCGAAGGCCGCTCCCAGGGCGGACCGGACCTTCAGTGAGGTTCAGGGACCGCGTCTGCGGGGCAGCTCGTTGTACTAAGACTGCAGTCTTCCCGAGCCGTATGATCTGCTTAAGAATGTTGGAGGCTAGCCTGCAAATACAGCTCAAACAGTATAAAGCTACAATGATTGAAGCTGTGCACTATCAAAGCAAGCAAGGACAGTATAATCAATGAATCACAAGAGTTCAGAACTGTATCCAACTATCTAGAGAATTTGCAGATAAAACAGCTTTCTAAATCAAGAGGAAAATATGGATTATTCAATAAACTGTATTGGGACAGCAACTGAGACCACTGGAGAAAAAGATAAATTCATTCATTCAATAAACAAAGGGCCTAATCTGAGGTACGCAAACGAAAAAGGTTCCACAATCCATTGTCCTCAAGGAGCTTCCAGTCAAGTGGAAGAAGAAACCCATCAATAACCACAAGAACAGCCCTGGCCGCTTTGGCTCAGCGGTTAGAGCTTTTACCTGCGGTCTCTGCAGTTTGTCCCCAGCCCTGGTTGGGTCGTGCGGGAAACGGCCACTTGATGTGTCCCTTTCACATTGATGTTTCTCTCTCTCTTCCTCGCACTCTATCTGAACAAAAAATGGAAAAAATGTCCTCGGGTGAGGATAAAAAAAACACAAAAAAAAAACACAAGATGAGCACTGACCCACACACCAAGAGGTCGCTGGTTCGATTCCCCATCAGGGCACATGCCCAGGTTGTGGGCCAGATCCCCAGTGGGGACGTGCAGGAGGCAGCCAATCGATGTTCTCTCATCTATGTTTCTATCCCTCTTTCCCTCTCCCTTCCTCTCCCTCTAAAAAGTAAAAGAAATTTTAAAAAATAGTAACAACCACAAGAACAAATGTAAAATTATAACTTCAATAAATTCTACATCTGATCCCCTCCTCATATGGTTTAAATCAAAATGCATTCTACATGAAGCAAGTATCTAAATTTAAAAAACAAAACCATAAAAGTACTTGAAAAAACATGGGTAAATATTTTTGTATGATTAGAATGAAGAAGGAAAACAAGAAGCCATAAAGTAAAAAAAAAAAAAATCTGACTACATAAAAATGTTTACATTTTATATTTTTTAACACACACACACAAAGTCAAAATACAAACACAGAAACACATTTGTAGTATTTTTTTTTCTTTATTGATTTTTAGAGAGCGAGGAAGGGAGAAGAAAAGAAAGACAGAAACACTGATGAGAGAGAACATCGACTGGCCACCTCCTGCACACCCCCACTGGGGATTTGGCCCACAACCTGGTCATGTACCCTGACCAGGAATTGAACAGGTGACCTCCTGTTGCAACCACTGAGCCACACGGGCTGGGCCATATCTGTAGTATTTTAAGGGGTAACAAATTTCCCTAATGTTACAAAAGCTGTTACATTATAAAAAAAATCGAAAAGCCCAGCAGAACAATGGACAAAGGGCACAGAGAGTTCCAAAACAAAACACAAAACAGACAAATTAAATGATCCTCAAATCTCACTAATAAATAACTACAAACTAAAACATTTTATTCTACCTGTCAGATTGACTCACTTAAAAGATGGCTGGTGGCAGCGCTGAAGGGAAAGGAAAGTAGTTTCACACACTCCCGGGGGACTAGCCTGGCCCTTCCTGGAGGCAACGCGGCAACATCTATAGACTTCTAAGCACTTACACTTCCACTCGGACGTTCTACTTCTAGTGAACTATTACATTACTGAGAACATTAAGAACCTACTTTCAAAAGATCCTAACAATGTATATATCATAATATAAAAGAATATAACTTTCAGAAAATTTACTCTAGGTTAGACCTAATAAAACTGTATCTAGTATTTAAAAAATTAAATTAAGTCTGAGACTTAAGAGTCTGTTGAATAGTAAGTGGTGCAACAGCAAATGAAATACAAAAAAACATTAGCATAAGTGTGCACATATAAATATGAGGGAACATTAACTGACATAATTTGTCATTTTAAAAAAGCTGGAAATAACCTTAAAATCTACCAATTCTACTTACATAAATTATAGTGTATACATTAACTGGAATACTCTACAGCCATTAAAAAGATTGAGTCTACAGCAAAATGTACTGACACGGAAGAGGGTGGCAGAAAGATTATTGAATTAAAAACCAGCCCTGGCCCTGGCCGGTTTGGCTCAGCGGTTAGAGCGTCGGCCTGCAGTCCAGAGAGACCACAGTTCGGTTCCCGCTAAGGGCACGTACCTCGGTTGCAGTTTGTCCCCGGCCCTGGTTGGGTTGTGCGGGTGGCAGCCACTCGATATGTTCCTTTCACGTCAATGTTTCTCTCTCCCGCTCTTTCCCTCCCACTCCATCTGAACAAAAAATGGAAAAATGTCCTCAGGTGAGAATAAAATAAATAAAAATAACAAACCCAATGCTGCCTTGTTTTGTGTTTTGTTCCTTGTTGAAATGAATACTGCATCATAGATTTGAGACTTGATTATATTTCTTCTTTTGTGAACTAGCTGTGCACATATATAGCTCTTGAATATATTTCTTCTTGTTGCTGACCCACAAATCATTGCATATAATAAAAATGTTTTAAGTTGTTTAAAAAAAATGAGGAAATCAAAATTTTAAATGTCTGTGCTGTGAACAAAACCATCACAAAAGTGAAAAGACTACACACAAAACAGAAAATTTTTTTTTCTTAATTTTTTTTCTTTATTGATTTTTAGAGAGGGGGGGAGAAAGAGATAGAAACGTCGATGAGAGAACATCAACTGATGGCCTCCCGCATGCCCCCCACTGGGGATCGGGCCCACAACCTGGGCATGTGCCCTGACCGGGAATCGAACTGGCAACCTCTTGGTCCATGGGTCAACACTCAACCACTGAGCCACACCAGCCAGGCAAAAATATCTTTAAGTCATATATCTGATAAAGGAACTCTATTCAGAATATATAAAGAATTCTTATAACTCAACAATAAAGACAAATAACCCAACTAAAAAGTAGGCAAAAAAGAAATCTAAACAGATACTTCAAAGATATATGAATGGTCAGATTTTTGTTTTTGTTTTTTTTTTATCCTCACTCAAGGACATTTTTCCATTTTTTGTTCAGACAGAGTGCGAGGGAGACAGAGGGAGGGAGGGAGGGAGGGGGGGGAGAGAGAGAGAGAGAGAGAGAAACATTGATGTGAAAGAGACACATCGAGTGGCTGCCACCCACACGACCCAACCAGGGCTGGGGACAACTGCAACTGAGGTACGTGCCCTTAGCAGGAACGAAACCCAGGTCTCTCTGGACCTCAGGTCGACGCTCTAACCACTGAGCCAAACCAGCCAGGGCTGAATGGTCAGTTTAACATAAGAAGATACTCAACACCAATAACCATTAGGAAAATGCAAATCAAAACCACGAGATACCACTTCACATTCACTTGTATGGCTAGATCAGACAGAAATAAAATAAAGATTTGGTGAGGGTAGGAAAATTAGAACCCTAACAGCAACTTTCAACCTTTTCATTTTGTGGCACACATTAACTACTAAAATTCTGTGGCACACAAAAAATATATATTTTGCTGATCTGATTAAAAAAATAGGTCTAGCCTGGTTGGTCTGGCTCCAAGAGGTCACCGGTTCGATTCCCGATCAGGGCACATGCCCAGGTTGTGGGCCCAATCCCCAGTGGGGGGCATGCGGTAGGCGACCAATCGATGTTCTCTCTCATCGATGTTTCTCTCTCTCTCTCTCTCTCCCCCCCTCTCTCTAATATCAATAAAGAAAAAAATATATATAAATAAAAAAGAAACTGGAGGCTCCATGAGGTTATATGATTTGCCCAAAGAAACTGCCAGACTAGTAAAACTGAAAGTGAAAACATGTGGCCTGACTCTCACACCAATGCTCAGGTCATCACTCCAGCCTGTCTCAGGCCACTGTGATGGACCAAAAAGGTTCCCCAAAGAGTGGGAAAAGCAGAACACAGTGGTATCAGCATAAGAAAAGGAAGAGAAAGTTAGGTAACACAAACTGAAATGTGGTTTTCCAAAATTTAACGTGACTCCAAAATGGATTGTTGGCCTAAAAATATCTAACAGCCATTGGTATAAGACATTGCGACTGATACAACAGAGCCCTTTTTACTAAGCGCCCAATTAGAGCAGGCCACTGGATGCAGCTGCTGGCTGAAAAGGAAAAAAGAAAAAGAGGTCAGGGGGCAGGGCAGCAGGCTGAAATCACTGGCCACTCTCCTGCATACGACAGAGGCCAGTAAGCAACATGCTACAAACATGTTGCTCTCAAGGACTGTAAACTCCTTTAAAGAGTTCTGAAAGCATTACCCCAGGATTTAATTACTTCCAGAGGTACTACAAGCACACGAGATAATTAGACAGGATATGAAGTGGTGTCTCTGGAGCT